GTTTCTATCCCCAGGCAATTCGACGACTCAACCAAGACATGCCACTCTCCCGGTCATAGTGTTATGGTTATCAGTTCAATCTTAAACTGCTGTGCTGACACTGCACACTGCACTTTAAACTGGCCATAAGCATTTCTTGCACAGTATTTCATCCTGTAATTTGTATATACACTCTTGTAAATTCATATTTTATTTTTCTTATTATTTCTTATTATTTTTCTTTTTTCTGTTTACACTCTATAATTTATTTGCAGTTTATTTTACAATTTATTTTCTAGTTTCTTTGTTATTTGCATGTATTGCAAGTATGAGTGTGTCATGACCTGCTCGTCTGATCCTCCTGTTTGCCACGCCCCCCTCATTACCTCATGTTAATTCCCGATTGTAATCACCTGTTGCCTGTTATGTTCAGCCTGTCCTGTGTATTTAGTCTGAGTCAGTATTCCCCAGATCTGTCATTGATGTAGTGTGATGTTGTCTAGCCGTGTGTTCCCTAGTGATCCTGTCAGTGATCCCGTCTTTACCCATATTCACAGCTCGACTCACCTGCTTTGTCTCCCTTGGGCTCCCCGTCCGTTCCTGTTTGGCCTCCTCCGTTTGCTCCTCGTCCCTGTGTCCCGCCTGTCTCTGCTCCTCGTCCCCCTGTCGTGCCTCCGTTCTCTCCTGGTCCTTCTGTTCCTCCACTCTCTGTGTCCTCTGTCTCGCCCTTTCTTGTGTGCCTGTCCGCGTTCCCCGTCTTGTGTCAGGTGTTGTCCTGGTTTTTGCCCCTCTGCTTGTTTTGTGTGTCTGTTCTATTCCCGATCCCTCGTTGATGTGTTTTGCTCATGTTTTCCAGGTCCCGTGTCCCCCGGTCTAGTCTCGTCAGTCACCTCCCTGGAGTGCGTGCCTTTGGGGGGGGGGGTTCTGTCATGACCTGCTCGTCCAATTCTCCTGTGTGCCACGCCCCCTCGTTAAATTGTGTTAATTCCCGATTGTAATCACCTGTTGCCTGTTATGTTCAGCTTGTCCTGTGTATTTAGTCTGCGTCTGAGTCAGTATTCCCCAGATCTGTCATTGATGTTGTGTGATGTTATCTAGCCGTGTATTCCCTAGTGATCCTGTCAGTCTAAATAAACCCCGTCTTTACCCGTATTCACGGCTCGACTCGCCTGCTTGCTTGCCTGCCGACAACCGGACATAACTGTCACGCCCACACGGGCGGGGCCAAACACCAGCAGGTGATTTGCAACTAAGCATTATTTAAGATTGGGTATCCTGAAAGTTAATCGCGAAGTATTGTTGCCATTTTCTGAATGAGCCCTACTGAGCAATTTCCTTGTCTCTTGTTCTACCTGTTCGTCCTGCCCGCTGTGTCCTGCCCTCCTGCCTCCTACGACCTGCCCCATTCCCTGGCCGCTCCGGATCCTTCCTGCCTCTTGTCTCTTTGTCACCTCCTTCGGTGTAGGACTGATCTGCCTGGATTTTGACCTTTGCCTGTGACCCGACTACCCGATAGGATTGCCCCTTTGGATTTGTTTGCGCCTGGCTTGTATAATAAAACAGCTTGCTTCCGCATATCGGGGTCTACCTGCTCCATTCTCGCCAAGTGTCACAGAATACTTTGCCGCTTCGGAATGGATCCTGTGGAGAGCCAGCGCCTGCAGCAACAAGTGGATCAATTAACCGCGTTGGTGTCACAGCTCCTAGAAAGCCAAGCGGCTCAGACACCGTTACCTGACTCTTCATTGTGAGCTACTGCATCGGTTCCTGTTGCTTTGCCCGAAAAATACGATGGCAACCCTGACCAGTGCAACGCGTTCCTTATGCAGTGTAGATTATACATTGAGGAACACCCAGAGCGCTTCATAGAAGAAAACGGAAGAGTGTGTTTTGTCATCTCACTGCTCACCGGGAGGGCTCGCGACTGGGCCACGGCGTTGTGGACTGACGACAGTCCTCTCCTGGAGTCGGCTCGGGATTTTCAGGCAGCCTTTAAAGAGATATTTGATCATCCGGCCGTGGGACGCAGCTTAGGAGAACGACTGGTTGATTTGCGCCAGGGATCTCGTACTGCGGCCGAATTTTCCCTCGAGTTCCGCACCATTGCTGCCGGGTTACGCTGGCCGGAGGACTGTCTGCGGATTCTTTACCGACGTGCGCTAAACCCTGAGTTACAAGACGAACTCATGTCGCGGGGATCCGCGTTATCCTTTGAGGAGTTTATAGGGCTGTCCGTCATGCTAGACAACAGCTACAGGGAGCGCCGCCGACGTCGAACTCGCTGAAGACACCACTGAACCCATGCAGTTAGGACGTATGCCTCTAACCGCGACAGAGAGAAGAAGACGCACCGAACACAGGCTGTGTTTTTATTGCGGGGATCCAGGACACACTCTGCGAGACTGCACTGTTCGACCATCTCATCCTAAACCCTCCTTGAAGGTAGGAACCTCAATGTTTTTGGGCATTTCTCAGGCCCAGTTGACTGTACCTGTTGAATTAACCACCAACGCCCACCGCTTATCGACAAGGGCTTTAATTGATTCAGGGGCTTCTGGTAATGTCATAGATCTGGCTGTAGTACACAAGTTGCGTCTTGCCCAACACCCTCTGTCTCACCCCATTGTAGTTCTGGGTGTCAGTGGGGACCCTCTATCCGGGGGGAGAATCACGCATCGGACTGATCCAGTAACCATGCGTGTGGGGTGTCTTCACATTGAAAAAATAACCTTTTTTGTCCTTCCCCGTACAAAGGACCCGATAATTCTGGGCCTTCCTGGTTACAGGAACATGACCCCCGTATTCACTGGTCCACAGGTGAACTCGCTGCGTGGTCTCCCCAGTGCTATTCACGGTGTATTGCTATACCCTGTTGCGCTTCTCAAGTTGAAAGCCCAGAACCAGAGGATCTGTCAGTCATTCCGGTGGAATATGCAGACTTCCATGACGTTTTCAGCAAATCTCGGGCATTCCAGTTACCACCACATCGGGACAGTGTGCTATTGATCTCCTCGAGGGGGCATACCTCCAGAAGGGGCGACTCTACCCGTTGTCCATCACAGAAGAAGCAGCAATGGAGGAGTATATACAAGAAGCCCTCATACAAGGTATCATCCGTCCGTCCACCTCACCCACTACAGCCGGCTTCTTCTTTATTAAGAAGAAGGACGGAGGATTGCGACCCTGCATTGATTATAGGGCTCTCAATGCCATTACAATAAAACAAAGAGAACCCTTACCACTGATTCCTTCTGCGTTGGAACAATTACGTAAAGCTAAAATCTTCACTAAACTTGATCTTCGCAGCGCCTACAATCTGATCCGGATTAGTCAAGGTGGAAGACTTCATTCATTACTCACACTGGTCAATATGAATATTCTTCCCCTGCCTTATGGTTTGGCAAATAGCCCCTCTATTTTCCAATCGTTCATGTACTCAGTGTTCCGGGACATGCTCAACCACTTTGTAGTAGTGTACATTGATGATATTCTTATTTATTCTTCTTCCCTCTCTCTACACGTTGACCATGTGAGACAAGTACTCCAAAGACTCCGCAACTGGCATCTTTTTGTTAAGGGTGAGAAATGTGAGTTCCACCAAACACAGGTACAGTTCTTAGGGTACATTATCCGACCCAGGGAGATCGCTATGGATGAACGGAAGGTAGCCGCCATCCGAGAGTGGTCCCCACCACGGACTGTGAAAGAACTACAATGCTTTCTGGGATTTTCCAACTTTTACCGTAGGTTTGTGAGGAACTTCAGCCAGGTAGCCGCCCCCCTCACCGCCCTCACACGAGGGAAGGGGATTCGACTACACTGGACCCTGGAAGCAGACCAGGCCTTCCAGAAGCTGAAAGAGGCCTTCTGCTCCGCGCCTATTCTCCGACAACCACGCCCAGAGGAGCCCTTTGAGGTAGAGGTCAACGCATCAGGGGTCGGGGTAGGAGGTGTCCTTATACAGAGAGACCCCGACACCGGGCGGCGACATCCCTGTGCGTTTTACTCCAAAAAGCTCTCTCCAGCGGAACAGAATTACGACGTAGGGGATCCAGAGCTTCTTTGCCGTGAAATTAGCCTTGGAGTAATGGAGACACTGGCTGGAGGGGGCTCGTCACCCTTTTCTGGTCCTCACAGATCATCGGAACCTCCAGTATCTACAATCAGCCAAAAGGTTAAATCCCCGCCAGGCCCGTTGGGCAATGTTTTTTGCACGATTTGATTTTAGAGTGTCGTACCTTCCAGGGTCTAAGAACGGCAAAGCTGACACCCTCTCCCGTCAATATGACCCACCAGTTGAGAGGGACCAAACCAGCCCCATCCTGACTCCTGCGTGTTTCGCCGCCACCATCTCTTAGTCACTGGAGGACACCCTCCGGGCAGCTAACGAATGCAAGACTCCACCTGCTGACTGCCCCCCAGGGAAAGTATACGTACCCTCCCAACTTCGTCCAGATTCTCAAGTGGGTCCATACTTCCAGGGGTTCTGGACACCCAGGAGTTTCCGCAACCCTCAGGTTGGTGACCAAAAAAATGAGACTCAATCAGGTACTGCTTATGTAGCCTTACCTGGAGTCGATTAAATTATAGTATGGTGCTGAGGTATCACCCGCTACATGGCTGCACTCAGGTTCTCATCCCTGAGGTGGTTTGTCATGTGGTGGGTGCGGCAACGCACTGTATCAATGCATGCTCCTTACCTGAATGCTGTGACCTGCTGCTTCCTGTCTCTTATATGTAGAAGCACATAGGTAGTCTTAACAAAAATAATAAACTTTCAGAAGAGCTTTCTTGAGACAGAATTTTCTCAAAGTGCATTTTTTTGTACAGGGAACTGCTCATGTAGGGCAGAAAGTTGTGCTTCGTAAGTCTTGGATTTGCATTTCAGTTCATTTCTTTGCTGTACGAGTCAGTACTATACAAGATTTGTGTTTTTGTTTCCTCTGACATTCTAAAATACTCTCTAGTTATTCGTATAGATTCCCAAATTACACACCTAGCTTGACATTGGGAACATCTGTTTTTTGTTCCTTTTTGCTGTGAATAATCATTTAGAAACAGTTGGGCAATGATGAATGTCATTTATTTTGTATTTGCTCTTTGATTTAGTGCATTTTATCCAGGACAAATCAAACTTTTTCAATCAGCTTTTTCCATGAATGAGAGAGAATGTTCAAATAAACTAAAGTTCAAATGTTGTCTGTGAATTCATAGTGGCTTTTATTTATAGATTTTTTACAGAAGGCATCAGTATGAATTTAAAATAAAATTAGTGAATTGTACTAATGCATTGTCGTTAGTTAACTAGAACTAGTGTGTGGAAAAACAATTACATTTGTGTGCATTTTAAGAGATGGCTTAATGTAGTGCTACTTTGAGTAAAATCTACAAACACTGTGATTAAAATGCACTTGAATCTGGGTCTTTTGAAGTAAATTTTACACAAGGATACAGTCTGTTAAATTTACTAACAGTTTATACATGGAAATTGTTTCCAAGGTTTTTTTAAGTCAACCTCACTCCACATTTTTTTCAGTGTAGTCATTATTTACTATACAGAAAATAACTTTTGCACAGTGCAAAGATAAAATTGCTGTGGTGAAAAAAAGAAAAACAAAGAAAATTAAACAAGGCTTCTGGAATCAGGTCCTGCCAAATCTGTCACGTGTCTGCAAAGAGAGGACACAGATCCTTGACACCGCCACAACATACATCCGTGACAGACTCAGAACTTAATGCAATACATTCCTTTGTCGTTCATTTCAGAACAAGCGTCTTACCTTCTGGGGGTAACGTGCTGGGCAGTGACATGAAGGGCCGCTCATATTGTGCCTCTGCCAGGGCCAGCTGCCCGCTCAGGATGCCCAGTTTGGCCTTCTTGAGCATTACCAGCTCCTGGTGGTGCCTCTTCCTCCACTGCAGCTCTTCCCTCTTGAGCAGGAGTCATTCCTTCCCCAGCTGCAGCCTCTCCCTTGCCAGAGCAGTCGGTTCCTCACCTCCCTTACACACATTGGGTGCACTTGTTTGCCAGTGCAGTCCTATGAATGGGCCTGGAGTGAGGGTCCTGGAGACAAACAGCATTGGTGGAGGGAGAGGGATGCACTGGAGGGCAGGGTGGATATTGCCCAGCACATACATCTACCCCTCCAGAGAGTCCCTCGGGTACAGCTGGCCCTAATATCCATATAGCTATGACCTGCTGTTCCTCTGGGTGAGAACAGCCTGTGACTATCCACCAGTGCTGCTGTGCCCCGGTCTCGAGTCAGAGCCCTTCTTCTTTGTTACTATTTTTTTATACTTAGCTGCCACATCTTTGCTGCCCAGTGCATTCTCTTATTCGACTGACGATTTCCTCCCATTTTTATTTGCGCAGTTGCTGAGGCTCCCATGGGCTTTTAAAGAACTATTTTCACCTTTGCGACTAATACGTTGATTTGGTCGTACTTCCGTGCGCTTTCACGTTATTTGATAGGGTTTTATTTGATGTTTTTTTCCCTTCATTTTAAGCGTTTGCTGTGAATGATTTGACTTATATTTCTCCATTGATTAACGTGGAATCGATGTTACTGTTAACGACAGTCTGATTTTCTCACGCAGGGCGTATAGGTTGGAGTCACGAAAGTGCCGTTTTAACTTCGTTTTATTATTAATTATGGAATAACGAAGGGTTTTGGAAACGCTCGTGGATTATTACTCGTTCTTTACCTACGTCGTTCACTATTTCGAGGGGTTCAAAACTCGGTATTTTACCTGGCTGTGTGCCTATAGAGGGTGAGTATTGTTAAAAAGACACCTGGCAAAATGGGTTAGTTAAACGTTGCAGTTAATATGTGTTCAGTAATACTTTATTTTTTTCTTCTTTATAGTGTTCAAGGGGCATTAATGCACCTAGAATGGTATCAAGTTGGGATTCAAGACATGGAGATGATTCTATAATTTGTTCCAGAAAGTAAATTTTCAGGAAGTGTCCCATTTTAATAATACTCACCCTACTATTTCTTTGCAGTGCAGATTTATTATATCTAGTGTAATTAGGCGTATTTACAGCAGCCTGTGTGTATAGCCACAGGATAGATTTTTTTTCTGCTACCTTTTCGACCAGTTCATTCCGGTTTGCGATTTTCTGTCTGGGTTATTATTATTATTATTATTATTATTATTATTATTAATATTATTAGTAGTATTAATCTAAGAGTTATCACGGATGATAGATAAGGACACCCAGCGCCTCAAAAGGGGGCTGCTTTCAGTCTTTCAGGCACAAGGGTATCTGATTAACATCAATGAATTTTAAGAATACTTAATTTTATTTAACGTTAAATTCGGAGCGCATCCCCTACACCCACGGTAAAAATATAGGACTAACCTGTAGGATGGGGTGCTAACCCATCACAGGACACACACACTCACCATTCACATCTACGAATAATTTTGGCAACTAATTAATCCCCCTTACGTGATTTTGGACTGCGGGGGGACAGAAAAGTAACCGGAAGATTCTCCACGACGACACGTGGAGAACATGTAACTTCCACATATATGTAGCCAGGGGGGACTCGAACCCTGAGGTGTGAGGCTATTTATTCTTATTATTATTATCATTATTATGCCGTTTCGGCGGCATCTCCAAAACAAGTTACGCTTTTTTAAACCTAAAGTTTAATTTGCCAATCCAGAAATTTATTGAAAGTGCCCTTTGCTACAAGGGATTGCTCCAGGCCCCTCCACTGTCCGACCTTGACCAGAATAACACTTGGAGGATGGATGGATGGATCTATGCGGGGGGGGAGCCCTGATGTTTCAAGTGAGTGCCACCAAATATTCTTCCCCTGCAGCATTTATAGAGATTTGGTGGTAATTGGTCGCTGTCTTGGAACATTAAGCTGCGTTAAGCTTTTTCACGTTACGCGTTTTAGAAAATCCCCTCCATTTGGATATACCTATATGCGGCCATTTACTTGTTCGGCGACGTAGTCTAATGTGTCCCACTACCGTAACAGTCAAATCCTGTTTTTGTAGAGAAATTGCATTTATTGATAAAATTAACACATCCCTCAAGATTTTGCGGTGTCTTCAAATTATTTTAAAATGTTTGATAAACTGGGAGGATCCTTAGGTTCATCGTCGTTGTCAGAAGCGACCCTGTGGGGGCACAGAATGACGGTAAGAATGAATACATAGATTTCAACAAAGAAATGACTGCAGTCATCAGAAATGTTCATACCTTGCTCTTGTCGTCGGACAAACTCTCCCCCAGATGCGAGTCCTTACTGCTTCTCGTAGTGCGGGACTCCCCCAAATGTACAGCATAGGTGTGCAAAGTGCGTTAAAACGGGCCATTATGGCAAACAGGTTGGTAGCTTCATTTCTAAATTTTACGCCCTGCGATGTAAGCTGTCTTACAATAATGTTAACGAAGGAGGGGCTCCATAAGGTTAAAAAGCATATGACGACAAACACTATGACTCTTAGCGACTCCTTCTTGTTTTCTCTTTCGGGTGTGGATGCTTCCCGGGCAAGCTGATATCTGGCAATTACGTACAGCTTGATCGTCATCAGCAATTTAATGATGACTATTAATTGCAAGGTAAGAACACCGAAAGCGTTTATCTGTGCGGCTTTTGAAATGGGTACCAGGTTTTGTACCGTTAGTATCATGTATGTGTAGAACCAGCAAAATACGCAAATTCCCACGACGACCGATCGAGTTATATAACGACTGTAAAAGAAAGGGTGGCACACGGCAAAGTACCGGTCAACCTGCGCGAACAGAAAAGTTAAGACGTTTACTCCGAGAAAAGAAGGGAGAACATAACGTGTCCCGTTTCTTGAAGGGTATCCCTCTTGCACATCAAAAAGGCCAAGATAATAAACAGAAAAGCCAGTGAGCGTGTCACTGATGCTGGTGTTAAGCTTGAAAATAAATCGGTTTTGAACTCGCAGAGATTTCGTAGCGAGGATTGCCAACACCACTGATCCCGCAACAAACACCGCAGCGGTAGCGAATACTATGTGAAAAATAAAAATGAAATAGTCCTCGATGTGAGTGAAGTCAACCGACAGGGGTATAGTGGTATTGGAGAAAAGCATTGTGCTCATTAACGCACCGCCCCTGCCGAAGTTTGCCACGGCACAGCTCGACGTTTTAAATGCTCCTTGTCCCTGTGGGCGAAATCCATAAAGACAAATCATTTACCCTTCGTCAGAAAACTGGGAAAACACGTTACAGGTCTAAAACAAGAGCGTCAGCATTTGCTGTAGGTTTAAGGCCAGATAACTTTTGTGTTTCTTTCGAGTGTATTCACTTGTAGCATGTTCATCTGATATGCTGCAAGATTTGTCCTTATTCTTAGTAAACCACAGGTGCAAGGCAGGGAATAACCCATTATTGGGTGCACCATTCACACCTAGTGACAATCTGGTACCTCAAAATCACCATAGCGTGTATTTGGAGTGTGGCTGAACCCTTGTCACAGAGATGTGAGGTGACAATGTTAGACACCTTGCCACCAAGTCACCCCTAGAATACAACACATTAAAACAAATAATTTTATTATTACCTTTTATGTATATTTTATGGCAGCGTATTTGCCCTGACAAAATAAAATTTGACCAGTTTCTCATTATAATGTGATACCTCATTATTACAAATCATGTATATTGTTATTACTTGATATGTATTTGTTTATTACAAGAAATATGTTTCATGGAGCCTCAGTGATATATACATGTATTTGTTATTGCAGTATATAGATTTAAATGACCATAATTGAATTAGGCCTAGATTAGATTTGACTTTTAATGATGCTAAGTACAGGAACAGAGCCAATGAAATGCAGTTAACATGTAACCATGTGCAAATAAAATATATAACATACAAACACAATGACTCAAATTATACATTATCAATATTAATGTAAATTATGGTTTTGTGCAGAAATGCATGAGGTAGTGCAGACAGGAAATATAGAGGGAATGATTGTGCTAAGAAAAATAAGATTCAAACTGGTCATATTGTGCAAAATGTGCAGAAAGTGCAAACAAAAGCAGTGTTCAGTCAAGGTATCAAGTTGTGTGTGTGAAGGGGGGCAGGGTGGAGAATCAATGCTGTAAGGCATTGTTGTAAGGTACTATTAAGCACATTGACAGCTGTGAGGAAGAAGCTGTTCCTCAGCCTAACCCCTAAATTACAGGTGAAACTTTATGTGGCTACTTGTCGGATATAGAAGAATATATTCAAGTAGTAATGAGAGACATATTTTGCCTTATCACAACGATCGGAGTAAATATATTTACTACCATAAAATTTGCAGGCAACCTATGTGCGGCCACTGGTACTGACAGGGGATGTAGGGAAGGTCATAGGGATCTGTGGTAACACTGTTCTCAGTGCTGGGTAAGGTCTTTGTTAGGGCCATCCTCAACAGGATCCTTGATCACTTGCTCATCAACCAGTGACAAGCAATTTGGTTTTACGCCTAAGAACTCTGCCATCAAGCACATCATGGCACTGAGGGTTCTCATTAAGTTCAATCATGAATATCAGCAGAGTTAGTTTGCAGCCTTTGTTGATTTTCATAATGCTTTCGACTCAGTTGATCAGGCTGCCCTGTGGGACATCCTGAGACTTTACTGGATCCCCCCAAAATTGCTGGACATCATGTCCGGCCTGTACACTAGTACTGTGAGTGTTGTGCAGAGTGGAGGGTAAACCTTTGCATTATTCCCAGTGGATGCTGGGGTTTGTCAAGAGTGTGTTCTTGCTCGTACGCGTACTCTGTTCAATACTTGCCTTGACTGGGTTCTGGCCAGGGTTGTGTGGTTCAGTGGTGTGGAACCTGTGTTGTTGAGATTTACCAATCTTGAATTTGCTGACAATGCTGCAATCTTCACAGAGCCAATGGAAGCTCTGATCAGGGGTCTCAAGAGACTAAGCGAGGAGTCTGAGTGTCTGGGCTTCAGAGTTTCCTCGATCAAAACCAAAATCCAGGCCTTTAATGACCCTTGGGCACAACCGTCAGCAGAGAGAATGTTGACCTCATTGAGATGTTTACTTTGGCAGCAACATTCATTTCTGGTGACTCTTCCTATGAAGTCAACGATGAGAGCATAGGTGGTCATGAGGTTGCTGGAATGAGGTGTGTGTTGCTCCCAGCATCTTCGTAAGAGGACAAAGATCCAAGTCTTTAGAGTGCTGGTGCTCCCTGTCTTGCTGTATGGCTGCAGTGACCTGAGACGCAGACTGTACTCTGTGTCTTCTGAGAATTCTTGGGTACCCGTGCTTTGACTTTGTCTTGAATGAGCAGTTGCTCAGAGAGTCCCAGATGAAGCACATTACCTGCATTATGGTCACTTTAGTGATATTATTGTCACATTAGACATATGCAAATGTAAAAAAATAAACTAATTTTAAAAATCAATAAAAACATGCAAAAGCACTCAGACCAAATAACCTATTTGTGGAAAATACATGAATGGGCTCAAAGGGTGATGTTGCTACCTTGTAAAAAAGAACAATGGCAAACAGCAATAGGAATAGGAAACACTTCTCAAAAGAAGAGTTAAAACAACTTATTGTGGGGGTAGCCAAAAATAAATTTTAATAATTACTGCAGTGCTGTGCAGCATAGCACACATAACAATATCAACAGTGCAGTATTCCAGGAAAAATCTTACACATCCCGAGGACTTAAGCAGGCACCAGAAACAGAATCTTCCACATGCCCAAAGTTGTGATCTATAACATTGTGTGTGATCTTTGGTGTGTTTCATCTCTCCTTAGCCACAGTTTGGGGATTCTACACTGGAGTCAGCACGTATTCGCAAAGAGGATACTTGCTGTCTTCCAGTAACTAGCCAGCAGCAAACGCACCATCCTTTGCCATCTGACATACTCCAAAACTGAACCAGATATAAGCATCATGTGTACTCCTAGGCCACTTGGCTGTAATGTCTGTAAATTGATGACTGAATATATCATAGACATTTGGGGAAGGGGGTTGCATCTCCTCCAATAATCAAACTGCCCAGTACAACCCCTGGAAGCCCCTAAATGGGTGGAAACCTCAATGTTCAACCCAAAGTTACGCCCTTGATTTAGGCCTAGTGCTGAGAACCCTGTTCACCAGCTGCAGATGGGATTTAAGAAGGTGGGAGTAAGAATAGGGTAAAGCATTCCATCCATTGCACCTAAAGCGCCAGGTATGTCTGCAATGGCATGAAAACCAGTTTTATGGTGCTTTTCTACCGCACTAGAACTCGAGGCAGGGTATTTTGTACCGAATTAAAAAAATTACTGTAGTATCTTATTGGGCTGGATGATGTGCAATATTACCACCGATGTTGTCTGTTATGCAGACAATTCTTACACTGTTAGTCAGCTATACTAAAATCCGACTTTTTCTTACTTTCATTTCAGTATGGATGTTATAGCATATAGGGTTAAAGTTAAAAATATTTTTGCTCTGTTACTCTGTCATAGGAAAAAAAAACTTAAACTTTGCAATTTTAATAATCATTCCTTTTATAGATTATCGAATATATGTTTAAAAATCAGTTTCAAGTTTTCCTCCACTGCTTTTGCATGAGTTCTGCATGTGTTCTCTGAGATATTCATAATTATTTTCATCCTTGCTGTTTGAATGATTCATAGACAGGTTTGTGAGAAATGTATGAACTCCTTTTTTGTTTTATGAATACCCCTAATTATTACAACAAAATCACATTGCTAGGATCCTAGGATATTAAACAAAATACTATTTTAATTTCATCCTGATCTTTGTTTTGCATCTGTTCTTCTGACCAAATCACAATTTTTTTTAACTTCGTTTAACGTTTTCTGAGCTCGTAACTGTTTTCAAAGCAGCGTTTGTGTTGTGTTNAACAAAGAAAGTGTTTTAAGTCAGTACTGGAGTACCAAAGAAGTACTCTAGCTGTTTTCACACTTTTGGTGCTGGAACTTTTGGTACTGGTACTCAACTGGAAGTTAATGGAAAAGCGAAAGTACCAAAAGTACCATACTGTACTGAGGTGTGATGAACAAAAATGGGTCTTCCAGACTTCTGGTGTGGCCAGGAGCAGAGGAACCACTGCGCCCTCACACTCCTGCCCAGCAGTCCATTCAGTGCCCTTATGTCCTGCTATAGCTTCCTCCGCTTCCTTCTCCTGTGACTGAAAATGGCAGGCAGGGCTGCAGTGGGCTGCAGGGAGCCAGTGGGCGAATCTGTGGCGAGCCACAGGCTGACCTGAGGAGAATGGGGCTGAGGCTTGCTGATCTGCCATGGAAAACAGAGCTGGGTAAGGGGAAGGACACAGGCAGACGGGACGCACAACGTTAATGATCTGACTGGTTCTGGTACAAGGACTTATATACAAAGACTAACAAGGGGCAACAAGCAACAGGCTTGGCTCATCAAGGCCACGTGAGGAAGGGTTAGGAGGGTCAGGCAGGCAGAACGTAACACATAACAGCATCTCGTTGTAATGAGATTTCACATTTTTTACTTAAAACATCTCATAATTCTTACCTAATTTTAAGAAGAAACTAGGCAAATTTTATTTTGTCATGGGAGCAGCAATATGCTGATGTAATATTAACTGGTGTTAAATCAAATTGAGCTTAGCATAAGTTTTTTAATGAGTTAATTTAACCTTTTGTAAATTAATAATAAAATGACAACTCGAAACTTTACAGAAAACAATGAAGCAAACTGTCGTTTGGCAGGACTGAGTGCAGTAACCCCGAAGTGCAATCGCGTTTGTTCCTGAAAGCTGGAACAGCAGGTAACCTGTTACGTTTTAAGAAAGGTTCGCTAGATGGCGCTCACAGCATTGTTCGTTCCAAATGCAGAACGTAAATGAGCAACAATTTATTTCTTTTTATTGAGTTACATTATTTGTATTGAGTTTCTTAAAGTATCCCTATTAATATTATCCAGTTTCCTGGAATAAGGAAGGTTGCAATCAAATTGTCAGGGTCAGTGCCCATCTGACTCTGTCCTTTGTGTCTTTTCCCCATATGCCCAGCAGCCATTGCTGACCATCCTCTTTATCGTCTCATTGTCTTTAGCCCTAGTGTGTTATTTTGCTTCTTGGGACTGCTGCGTGGCTCGATAGGTTCAGTCTGTGGTATAGAGACTGGAATCCTTCAGTCATTGGTTCAAAGCTGGCCAGGAACCAGCCTCACTTGTTTTTTTAATGATTGGTTTTTCTGTTCTTCCTAGTGTTTATTAGTTCTATGTTCTCCTCGTGAAGCTTCTGCCTTGTTTTATTATGGTCCATGTGTTCCTGTATTTTTGTGTTTTTAGTGTTGAATTTCTAGTGCATGATTAGTGTTTCTTACTTGCAGTGTTTGTTGGAGTTTGCCTAGTCTTGTGTTCATTAGTATAAGTTAATGCTCCTGTTGCCGGTTTTCCCTGCAACATTGTTATTGGTTGATTGTCTGATGTTCCACACCTTGCCCCCCTCGTTAGCTCAGTTGCCTTTTATATTGTGTGCCTGCACCTGCTCAGTTCTTTAGTCAGTCAATGTGTTCATGTTCATATGTGCTGTAAATCTCTGCTTGGTTTTCTAATCCTGCTCCCCATTTAGCCCACTTCCTTTGTTGTGCTACTTGTGGTGTCTTTAGTTTATTCTTATTTCTCCCATTTTGTTTTTGACTACTCATGGTCTCTTCATTTTGTAGTTTATCCCTGTGTGTTCTGTTTCTTTAATAAACCCCTTTTTGTCACAGAGCTGCCAGTGGATCGTCCCCTTCTTTATGCCTGCACTATGCCCTGAGTCCGTAACACAAATGTCAATTAGTGCTTGTTTTCTCAAAGATATTTAAAGCTTGATATTACAGTACTCTATAGTGTTTGCGTTTCTTATAATTTATGTGTTATTTTATTAGTGTTATGCCTCCTGGAAGTGCATGTAGCATTGAGTTTCTTTTAAAAAGCATAATTATGTCATTGTAATGCTTCTCAATACTTACAGTACTTCATGACACTAAGATTGACTGGTTGCTGATTGCAATATGTTTCATGTATCATTACAAAATTCTGTATCAATTCTTAGATTTAACTTCTTCCATCCCTAGCATCATGAAACAAAACGGACTTGATTTCTCTGTTGGTCCAAAGAGTTTTTTATCTTATGAACAGATCAGTCATACATTGTTTTATGGCCCTATCATAACATGTCTAATGTGAAGAGTTTAATGCATTGTTATGAGATTAGTCTAAATTGTACCAAATGGAAGATATGACATTTAGTATTGCGAAAAATGCACACATGTGAAAAACGTGGCTCATTTTACTTATTATTACTGCAAGTCTCAGGAAGTTACCACAACACTTATTGCACAAATTTCCACCCATCCATCTGCTATAACCATCCATCCATTTCTGGTTGGAGATCTTGTGTAACACAGTGTGGACCATTGCAGTTTATATACCTGGGGAACTTTTATGGACACCAATTCACTAAACCTACAAATTAGGCCTACCTATCAAAATGGAATACAAACAGCAAACCTGTGCAAACGTGCCCCAGGCACAAAAAAACAAGAATCGGACCCGAGACACTGGAGGTGTGAGACCGCACGGCTACGTGCCTGCTCATCCGTAGGCATTAATTATATTCGATTACTTCTGAGTATTAAACTCCTCCCCGTCCGGCATCTTCAGAGACTTTTGTCCCATACCATTTCTTTAAAATGTGGCTCTAATCTTCAGATCGGCCACATCTCTCTATAGCAAACTTCAGGTTAATGTCGATTTTGGATGGCATGAACGGTTCTTCCACTCTATCACAAAAGGAAATTTCAACGGTCCTACCTCTAGATAGCTTCGGAAATGTGCTGCTGTTCCTTTTCAGCATAATTCTAGCGTCAGCGATAATACTTCTTAATTTTTCGGTACTAATTTCAGTTATGCTGAATAAATCACTCCGCAGCGAAAATCGCTTCATGTATATGTCGAGTACCTGTGTCAGCGATATCTGTACTGGGGTTTCCTATTATTATGTTGGGGTCCTGAACGTCAGGGACAGCTATGACTCACCAACGCGAACCTTTTATATTGCTCCAACATTTTTAGGCCTTTCTTATATGGCCATTTTAGCCGCGCAGGCTGACAGGTATCATGCCGTTGCCTCACCTTTTAAGTATTCCCAAAGAATGACACGCAATCGTACACTTTTGGTCATTTTGGCTTATTGGGTTTACGCCTTTATAATCGTTGCGGTGAACAACCTGGTAACGGTGGGAGTCGCCAAAAGAGTTACTGGAATTGGCACGTTTGTGGGCAACATCTTCACTGTAATAATCATGATAGGCCTAAACATACGATTATTTTTCATTGCAAAGTATCAGTTGGAGAGGGAGCCCCCATCAATAGAAAGAGAACAAAAACGGTCTTCCGTGTATCTTATAATCATGGTAGCCGTGTTCTTCCTGTGTGCATGGTTACCAATTTTCCTTCATATTATCATATGTAACTTTGCCGGATCCACTTGTTACGCGTTTCAAAATGAGGGGACAGACCCTCTGCGCATTTTGCCCAGAGTAAATGCGGTCCTCACCCCGTTGTTGTACATTAGAGGTTGTCAGTCTTTAAGGAAAACGCTGTTTACCAAAGTTTGGAGACCGCTATGCAATGACAGATGGTAAGTAAGCGTGTTTGGAAAGAAACATGTTTGTCTATCACCCTTTTTATACGGTTACTTCACGAAATACATTATGGTGTGTTACTGCTGTTATTCACCATTAAATAATTATCTACCTTTATGAGCACAATTCCTGAATACTGAATACACTCAATCGCTAAAATGTGATGTGTTATGTCCCAGTCTTTATCGCTTATCATCTTTGTGCCACATTTCTAATTTCTGTGAAATCAATAAGATAAATGCCACCATTTTTTGTTGAACTCGAACAGGTGTTTCTGCATTATAAATGCGTCTTGAAAAAATAATTATAATGTACCAAATTCCCGCTGACGGTCTGCTTCTATGTACAGAATTAATGTGTATAAACAGTATAAATGCACATAATATACGTTTCATCTGTCCCGTTTTAGGGTGAGTGCGGAATAAAAACCATGGATCCGCTGGACATTCGACCAACTTGCTGCACAAAGTATAACTAGCATAATCATTTGATTCATTTAAACATTTCTGTTCCAACATTAAAATATATCAACGAGCACACAGTTTATGATGTACCTCTAAGTACTAATTTGAAACTTGTTTAAATAAGAAAACAAATGCTTCAAATAATAAGCGCATAATACTTCTTTATCCTACTGTAATATATATGCCATATATTAACAGTAACTTTTTATTCCGCATTGAAACTGTTGTGTACCTTTGTGTACCTTATGAAAATAATATTCTTCTTCTTGTTGTTCAAGAGTGATTAGGTTATCAAATAGCTGTCTTTCGTTCGTATTGGAGAAGGCACATTGTACATTTTTATGTTTTTTTTTTGTTCTTTTTATATGCTTATATTTAGCTATGAAAAAAAATACATCAAACACAAACAATATGTAAATTGCGTTATTGGGTATAGCGTTGTTGCCTTACACCCCCAGGGCTGGGTGTGTGAATGGCGCCTGTGTGTGTGTGTGTGTCTGGGTGTGTAATGACTTTAAAAACTTATTTTGACGTTGTGTGTCCCCACAAAGGGAGACTCAATTTTATAAAAATCTGTGAATGCAATCAGAAAACTAGAAATATCAAAGGTCTTGTATTTTGTTTGGTTATTTATGTATGGTTAAGGGTAGGGATGAGTACGGGGTAAGGTTGTCATTGTTGCGATGAGGATTTTTCCGTAGGCATAAATGGACGGTCCCCACAAAGATATGAATACAAACGTGTGTGTGTGTGTATGTGCGCGCGCGCTTGTGGAGTTTGCATGCTACAAAAATGTGGCGTGAGCGGGTATTCCGGATTTACTCCCAGAGTCCAAAGACATGCAGCTCGGTTAATTACTGTCACCAAATTGTCCATGTTGTGTAATGTAATCCGCGGCAGAATGGTAGCCTCTGCTATTGGCTCCCACCCTGTGACCCTGACCGTAATAGCCAGTAATTAGGAAATATGGAACATGTTGCAACGAAATATTAATAGTCACGCTATTAAATGACAGAAAATGCTTTGTAGGAACTATAGTCTACATAGACGTAAGAAATATGGTGTCTGAAACTACTGCTAACATTTTTTATCCTTATTCCACAACGCATGTGAAAAAGTTTATCTGATATAGTTTGAATTGTTATAGGTCTACGTATGTGACTATATGTGAATATATATGTGACTACGTATGTGATTATACTACATGTGACTACGTATGTGATTATACGACATGTGACTATATTTGTGACTATACTACATTGCACTACAAACGGCTTTATTACATGCTAAATGTGTAAATGTTCTGGTATGCCATGTCATATTAGAGATCTTAGTTTAAGATGTTCTGTTTTCTTTTATTCTGGACATTTAAGGAACGTACAACTACACAGAGAGCTATAGCATATGAAATATGTTTTTAAATATATAAAGAAAAAAGCAAAAGAAAGGTTAAGCATCTCAGTCGAAATGGTTGTGTTTCCGTTACAGTTTTTGTATTTAACAACATGTTTTCCTGTACTCATGTACTGTTTTCATGGCGTATCAAATAAAATGTAACACCGACTACCATAATTTTCGGTTTCTGTTCGTGGAATTACAAAATTGTCTCAAATAATTTTTGAAAAATATTCAAAAATGGAAGCGAAAATTCGTCGATGTCGCCCGAAAATTTTCTTCTACGAAAAGTAGAGCGGTGGACTTAACTGCTTATCAATTATCCCAGTTCATTATTTAGAGCATAGAATCAGACAGTCGCAAAGGCAATATTTTTGCACTGTTTTTTTATCCTGTTTAATGTACTTTTCGTTGACAAGACCAATTGTTCACAGTAGCGAGGCTGAAAATGCAGATATGCTGCATTATTTATATAACTATATAGGCAAATTTATGGTAGAATTGTAACGATAGACAAAAACACGTGCAGCAACGGTGTTCCATTTCGAACAGTAATTGTGTTATATCTTACTATTTATAAATGTCTATTATATATGATTCACATGGTAACCTAAACAGAGAGAAAACACAATCTGCTTAATAACATTAAACGAATGCATCAAATGAAATACAATGCGCAGTACAAAATTGCTTCATCATCGCTTCATCATAACAGTTATTGATGGGTATAGGCATCGTTCCAATTAATGTTATTGGTGGGGTTAAAGGAGAGATAACTGACTACGAAAAAATTACGTGAATGTCTGCAGTACAGACGTGCGGTCGAGAAACCGGGCATCTGCGAGTGAGACGCACAGCCTACACGATGTTAAATGTAGCCTAAATATTCCGTTAAACGGGCCCATGTACGTTAGATAAGTGAAAATATGACAATATATGCATAACTAAACGGTATTTTTAAAGCAAGTTTAATTAAAAATATATATTTGAAAATTTAAAATAGCAGATATACTATGTCAATTCAAGTTGTTTCCTTCAACGTTGATTTATTTCGATTTATACTCGTATAGGCCTGACTTGTTTTTACGCATTGATATGTGGTCTGGAATGCTTGCATAGCAAGCTAGGGCATGTTGAATTGCGCCACCTTTCTGTGTATAGAGACTATACATTTTGCGCCATACTGTATTTCCTGACTAGTTTCAGGGTGTAGTTTACATGGTAACCGCGGGGTGTCAGGGGAACCCTGTAGTAGTCTACGTCTATAATGCCGCAATGTTCTTGTTTTGTCGGTGGCATGTATTTTTCTCTGGGAATAAAATCTGAAATAGCTTGTGACTTCCTGAGATACAAACAGAAATAAAATTACTGACATTTAAACAAATGGTTATAATTATGGTTATACATAGGACACGCTGTGTATATTCACCGCTGATATATATAGGCCGAATACATTGTAAATCCCCAATTGTTTTACAGCTGTCTATTATTATGGAGGAAGCCTGAAAATTCAAACCAATGACTTGCATTTTATGTATTTATGGTTAATTGTCTAACACTATCTGCCTTTATACGCAATGTGTAAGCATGAGGGAAAGTCTGTGTATATTGCAAATAAGCATGTTGATATTAGGCACAGTTGAGAATTATTACAGTGCCAACATTAGCGACATACTTTAGACCGCCAAATAATTGTAAAGATCACTCACTGAGATTGGCATTTTTATAGGGGTGTAAACAATTAAGGTTGTCTGAGGACGTTGTTGGGGGAAGGGAGCTAGTGGGATCCTCCATTCACTTCCGTTAATAACATCTGGTACAGGGGTCGTGTGGTTAGCTTTACCATACCCTTATTACGTACAGCCTGTGTTATTGCGCTAAGGCATGTATATGTGCTGCAAAATACAATCAGCATAAGTGTATAGCGCAATTAAGTAGATAGTCCATAACGAATTTTCTGGTTAAGTTTCCACAAACGCATGGCTAAAATGGACTACCAAATATCAGGGTGTCAAGCGGAAAAACATAATACACATTAACTGACCAAAATTTCACATTTCATTCATTGACTCATTCTGATAAAATTCATACATGTAATGAATACTGATACATTCTTTTTTCGCTGGGCCTATGCTTTTGTGATATTACATATATGTCGTTTACAACTTACGAATGTCGAGAGAAATGCAGATGAACATATAAATGGTAGAATTATATATATATAAGACCATAAATATATTTTCATTGCAGATTAAATAAATGCGTGGCGTTGCAGTACATCCGATTATATTTCTGTTTCGAAAAGACAACGCGAATTAAATTATTCCACCTGAGCGATAATGATGGTGATGGTGTTTAGACTGGCTTGTTTGCAAAACTGGAACGAGTGGGGAAGGAAGATCGGCGAGGAAAAAACACACTGGGCTGATGTTTTTCTCCCCTTTCTTCCTTTTCGGTTGGCTTCTATTCAAATTTGGGTCAGGGGTGAGAGCTCAACGTCACAAGCTTGCAAGATGGCGCTCGAAAGGCTGTGAGATGAGAAAGGGTGTTGAATCGAGGACGCTCCTACCGATGTTAAAGGTATCAAAATGCAATTCGGGCTGTTTGTTAAACCTATGGAGGCTTGCTGTGATCTGTCGCCGGCATTTCCCAATCGATGCAGCTTTTCTTTGGACCTGGGATTTCCTCTAAAAATGCGCTTCTATTGCGTGCCAACAAAAACGGGGATTCGCCTGCATAGTGCCTACTCTTAGACCCAGTAATACCAGCTTGGCAAGATCGTTTTTGTCTAACTATTGGGGAAACGTCAACAGTATGGGAATTAAGCAAATGCAACGCGGTTTTTGCAATGGTAAATTTTAGCTAATACGCGGCGTGTTTTATTTGTTCCTTTTATCATACGTGTATATTTTTGACAGTATCAGGACATACCCAGGTTAGTTTATTCCTGGGGGGTGGGTGGTGGGGGGGGGGACAATAATGGGCAAATGCTTAGGCGAACTGACAAAATCGCTAGCTGAAGAAATTAAAATGAGCCTTCTCATTTATTTACGAAATAACAGGGGGTTTGAAGTAAATGCTTTCATTTTTATGTAAATACTTATGTGCAGTTCGATTCCGCGGATTAGATAATGTAGACGAATAAAGCGCATGTAAATTGTTTTTGCAATTGTCTTGCGATAGATTCAGAAAAGGAATTCAGTTAATTAAAAATAGATTAATAGATTAGCCTGGTTGTTTTTTCCTTTTTATGGAATCAGGTAAAGTACGGAGGCATATTTTGATGTTTTATCACCTTATGAGTTTTTTTTGACTGGGATGTTTCTTTGTATTTATCGTTTTCCGATTAATGGTCTTTATTTTTTGAATTTGTGTTAGGTCTCCAGGTTTAATTGGAATGCTACAGTAACTATTTCAGTGTTATGTACGGGTAGTCATTTGTATTGCGACCTTTCGTTTAAATTTCACCAGCTCTCTGGCGTTTCTCGCTGGCTAAACTAGTATATTGTGTATTTTAAAAGGCCCTGGATATATCTTGGGCATTTAATCTGACGGAATAGCTTGCATTTGTTTGTTTTTTTTATTTCTTCGTTCATGTGGGACAGTTATAAGGGCTTTTTGTCACTTTCCGTACAGAAGGTCACTTCATGTTTTAACTAAGATTACACGCGTTAACTATCTACTTGGTGGGAATTGAAGGCGATCGCAATGATTGACCGGTTTTTTTTGGGGGGGGGGTCACTTTGGAGGAAAATTGTATCTCTAACGATTTATTTTGCATGAAAACCGGATTGAAGAGCCGTGTTTTTGGGGAAGTACTTGCTCTGAATATCTGCTCTGTAAAATGACCTGAGGATTTGCTGATTACAAGTGACCATTGCTCAATTATGCTGACTCGAAAAAAAAGATTGCCACACAATGCTGTGGAAAAGAAAAATAGGATTTGCGTAGATTTAGATTTAAAATGTGTGTAAGTTTGGACAAATCATAAAGCAATTTTAACTTTTGTTCATATTGGTAGGTAATAGTACGTAATACAATACTGGTCTTAAAGGAATATCCAGCATACTTTAAAGGCTTCAGCACTGCTTAGCATGATCCTCGGGTTAGTTGCTTCTCCCGTGTATATGCCATTATTTGGCCTAACCAGTCACTTGATTAGTTACATGCTCAAATTGAATAATAATCAGGATGTAATTAAACTAAATTAAAGCTTGCCTGATTTTTTTTAAGAGCTGAGCAGGAAACAATTTTCAAAATGCATGTCTTTGACCAGGCAAATACTGAGATCGGAATCAATCACCTGCCGGCCTTAAAATGTCGTTCATTTTGATTTTTATTCGCTCAAAGTACGTATACATGGTATTCTGGTAACTGATAAGTAGTAAAATCCAATTTGTGGTATTTACAAAGCTGGCACAATTGTCTGGACTTAATAATTAAAAAGTAATTTAAGAATAATTAAAAGGCAAGTGTTACGATTGGTGTGTATTTTGTGGAAATGAGAACTTGCACAGAAGCTCTGAAATGGTTGAGCAGGGTACGGGGAGTGTGTCCCTCCCCCTCCTTTATGCTTTGGGGGGGAAATCCTAATTTTTACTGGTGAACTTCGGGTACCTCAGTGACGCTCCTGAATCTGGCTCCGAGTTCAGGTGTACAATCCACAACCCGTTGACCTGCTGCAGCCCACCTGTCTTCTACCAGCAAATATAACCCCCAACCACCCCCCCCCCCCCCCCCAAAGTTGATTATTGGGCCTTTATAAGTGTGAGTTTTTGTCAGCATTATATTGGGTTACACTAAGACAACCTTGTACATTATTTAGTTTCTTAGGGAGGCCAGTTAGTTGGTGTGGTATATATGTGTTATCTGTGTCAGATTGGACAATGTTCCTGAGGCTGTTTGTGTAAGAATCCTACCTGAAGGTACCAACCTGCTTGATGAAAAGAAAAGGAAGTAAATGTATGGTATTTACAAGCACTTTGCTACTAAGGAGACTTATTTTCATTTTCTTTGGGATGAAAATGCATGTAGGTGGCGGTTAGGTTGCTGTGCTTGAGTGTGCCTTGGGCTCATGATGACGTGAAATCTGTAGTGATTGCCAATTTGGATTCAATGTCCTGTATTAATTGTGATTTATAGTATTGCAGTAATGTTCATGACCAATGTGGTTCTTTTTCATATATATATATTTTTATTTTGTGCTTGTAATCTATTAGCCAGTATAATTTCTCCCGGTCAGCTGCCATGTCTGTTTGATTCTGCGGAGGGTTGTGTCAATGGCAGAGGGCTTTACTGTTAGTTACATTTGATTATTATTTTTCAAGGTTTTGGAGTCGGTTACAAGTAGGGTGCAGTTGTTGTCGCGCCCTTGAGGACCAGCGCACTAATAAATGGTCCAGATATCTTGCTGGCTTAATTCACATTTACTATACTGCCTAGGTCAGTGCGATTCACTTCTGTCGCTATATATTTTTGAAAAAGTGTCGTTTCTGGTATTATTCTGCCCTGGCAGTGTCTCCTTGACATTAATTGATGATTAAACCCATTGCTAATGGTGACAACCATACAGTTACAGAAACAACATTCCTGTAACTAACATTTAAAATATTAAAATGAGTCACTAGTGCTCCTTTAGGGTATTCGGATCAAACTATCATGGGTTTGTCTTTGTGCAGTAATTACCCAGTGTAATGTTTTAGTCATACATTGATTGATGTCCCGTATGATTAGTTATGTTTGGATGCCTGTCGTCTAAATAGCGCGTGAGAGCTTATAGCGTGGCTCTTTTAATGTGCCAGGAATGCCTCGTCTTTGTTTCTATGTTGAACTTTAATGGCACTTATATTAATTTAGTGTATGCTTTGTGTGTGTGGTTCTGTGGAAATGTCTGAATATTCTGAAGAGCCAATGAAGACCTTTCTTAATTGCCCGATTTGGTTTTATTTTTGTTTTGGTCAAAAACAGGACCTTATGCCACAAAACGTCTGTTCGCCAGATTAATTTAAAATAGTCCTGGTGTCTTTCCAGAGTGGAAGTACAGTGTCAGAGTGTCACTGCGTGGATCTGTCTTGGTGGTAAATGGGAGTGAAGATGGGTTTTTGGGGATGTGGTCAGTGTTCTCCAGGGGGCAGTTTTGTAAGCACGAATGGAATCGTTTAGGGGGAGGGGGGTCATGTACAGAGAAGCGTGGGCTTGCAGGAAGTACTGGCTGATAGTTTGGGGTGGGGGGGCTCCCCCATTGTGCAGCGATTGACTCGCTGGTGTATGTTCCTCCCGCCCGCTGTGTGCCCTGTAGCCTCCTTTCTGCCCTGGCTCGTGGCCGCTCCCCAGGACGTGCGGGGAGGCCATCCGCCCGCCTGACGCCGCGGCTCCGCGGCTGGAATGCGGAGTGTGTGCAGTGCCTAAGGAGGGCTACGTGACAGAGCTGCTGGGCGTGTGGCAAAGCCGGCTGGCGCGCCCCAGCCGGGGGTTTTTTTTCTGCCGCGCCTCATGCCACCCACTGGCTTTGTGCATCAGGCCTCTGTTTGTGTCCCAAACCCGCTCCACAGCCCGGCAAGGAGGGATGACCCGGCACGGTGGAAATTTGCGAGCTAATTGAAGAGCTCTCGCCTTTCCCCATCGTGTAAGTGATGGATTTCCTAATCTCCCTTGAAGTCTGGGGTCATTGCACCCGCTCGCTCACCGTAATTTATTCCCTGCTTCCAGGGGGGCTCACTGGCCGACAGGGCCCTTTGAGCTTTGGAAACAGCATACTTTTATAGGTTATTGATTGGCTGACAAGTGGTTTTATTTTTTTCTCCAGGGAATTAGTGGTTCAGGTGAGGAGTTTTTAAAAATCTTGAGAGGGCCCCGGTGGACTGGGGCGAGCCGTCCCTCTAGGGTGGGGGAGTGAGGCAGCCCCCGTCCTGTCAATGGGCAGGGACACATACTTTGCTCTCCCTACCCTCCCCCGTGTGCGAGCCTCAGTCGAGTAGCCATAGGGCATCAGATACTTCACCAGCCTCTGCCTCGGGTTTCACATGACTGGGCTGCTGGACTTTGCCTCTTCTGTGTCCCCCCCCAGAGTCTCTTCTGTTAGGGGCTCTCTGACTTTTGCATACCCAGCACAGAAGTGTGCTATGGAAGTCTTACTAGAAGTAGAGGGATTGCAGAATCACAGACGTATTGCTGTTGGTGATCGCTTTGCGGCGATTTACAGTCAGGGCTAGGGTGCATAAGGGAGTGAGCTTTGCGTGTCCATGCTGGTGGTCGCTCCCTGGACATTGTGAAAGCTGCTGCTTTGTTTTAAATTTGCTTTGTTATCAATTGCCTTCGATATCAGAGATCTCATACACTCTGCTGCTGAAGCACATGCCTGGTCAGTACTGGGGAACAATGTGTTTTATGTTCCTATCTCAGCCGTAGCTGATGTCTGTGCCCGTGTGAATTCATCTGCACTCAGGTCAGGATTAGCCTTTTCACTTCTGTACTGCAGACCAGCAGGGCAGCTGGAGTGGGGGCATTAGGTAGGGGGGGGTTGGTTGTTATATTGGAAGAGAACACTCCTCCTCCTCCCCCCAGCACTCTTGAGCAGTAACATCAAGCTTGGAAGTTTTTTAAATTTAATCTTATTTATTTGCCCTTCTGTGATCTCCCATTTGAGGGGGAATGGAGTCTGGGAGGAATCTCCTGACAGGCGAAGCTCAGGGCTTCTCATGCCTGGACTTGAAGGAGTTCGGAACTGAGCTGCTGAATATGCCGCTCTGGCCCAGCTCAGCGCTAATGTCTCTCTGAGTGTTCAGGCTTCCGGCGCGAGCTTCCCTCCGGAGGACGTCCTTCCACACCCCCAGAACTCAGCCAAGCCCCCGCATGTGCTGCCTTACGCTGTGTGCTCTGTTTTTCTGTAGAGCTGTCGCGATTACTTGATTAAACTTGAGTTTATAAAGCATTGATTTAAAAATTTGCATTCTCGATTACTCTGCAATATGGAGGAAGGAAGCTAGAAAATAGCGGATGAGGGTCCAAAAATAGATGGCGAAAGCACTTTACATTAAATGAAAAGGCAATCTGTCAGTACAGCAAAGCAGGAATATCACAACAATACGACTGTGATGCGATACCATCTTAAAAGGAGACATCCACAGATTAACCAAAGTATAAGAGATAGCTATAGATAGCTATAAACCATTTTCCCTTTAGCCTCTTGGAGTAGCCTAGTCTTTGTCTTCATTTCGACTTAAATAATTTAGCCTAATTTATTTTGTACGATTCCTGTATCTCAAGATAATTGCCCCATCACTTAGCCTTACATAATATGGTTCAAGATAAGCATCTAATATTTGTTAATTAACCATTCTAAATATAATTTGTTGCCAAATGGAACTTATCTAAAAATGCACTCTGCTAAGTTGGTAGTCTCGCCCCAAGACAAAGCAGTGCCGACAAATCACTTGCTTTTGCTCAATCTCAATGTCTCTATGTAATCCAAAATATTTCCATACAGCAAAAGACAAATGTCTTTTTTGTGACCAGCTCTTGTTTGCTTTTCTCCTCACTCAGGTTTTTCACAAACTAGCCTCACTGTCTGTGAGAGTCCAACAGCAATATTCAGAGCTCATGCAAAAGCAGCTGCAGTAAAACTTTAGACTTCGTTTAAAAAAAAAAAAATAAAATTTTTTTACCTACAATCTTGGGTTCCTGTCACAGTAAAACTGTTTGTGCATTTCTTGTCTTAAAAATGTATTGCATTGAATTAACCCAGCTGACTACCACAGCCCTTGCAATGTGATCATTGCATGTGTATAACAAGCAGTGTTGACATCACACAGGGTGCAGACTTACAGTAATACTGAGGGCGGCACAGTGGTGCACGGGGTAGCGCTGTATATAGAGCAGTTTACATTGGATACCCAGCACTGGCTCCTGAGGGCAGCAATGGTATATTGGTTTTTTTTCCTGTGCCACAGCTGTTAATTGTTTTATCTTTCAATAGAAAGTTGCCTTATCCAGTGTTTAGAGTGATGCGGATTCTTAGGAGCTTGCTGGTCTCCCTGAACCCATAAATAATAAGAGGGTCTCGGCCAAAACCTGCTCTGCCATCGTGTCCTGCAGCTTTAGTATGATTAGCCCTTTTAACTTTCATGGAACAGTTTCTCTAGAATTAAGTACAGACGCTGTTCTGCTTACGAACTTTCAACTTACGAACTCTCAGACATACGAACGAAGAGGACTGTAAGTCCAAATTGTGTTCGTTGGGCTCCCATTTCCTGTCCGAAACACCTTTTTTTTTTTTCTGCGCACCAATTCCGCCTAGTATGACTTCTGGCCGCTACTCCCACCGTGCAGCAGCGTAGCGTGTGTACTCCCAGCATCCAAGTTCTTTGTACTAGCGTATACCCTTAAAATGATGTTGAATAATGACTTAAGAACATTTCAAGTTACGAACAGCCGTTCGGAACGTATCTCATTCGTAAGTAGTGGAGCGTCTGTATGTCCTTATAGCGTATTTTAAAATAATGGATGTGAATCGTTGGCCCCAAGGCGATTTGATTTGATTCATTAGATCTTTAATTGTTGCTGGGATTCGATTAATAGATTATTTTGATCACCTAAAGTTAAACCTTTTTTAACTTCACTAAGAAAAAAATAACCTCACAAAAAATAACCTCACCATGGAACGTTAAATACAAATTTTGACCGATACTGATATATTTTGTTTAATATCGCTGATACTGAGTAGTCTCTTTAGATCTGCTGCTGCTAACTTAGAATATTGGTAAAGTTAAAATATCAGCCAAAGATTATCATGGCATGAGAGAAAGCATTCTGTGCTGCATAAGAACCGCAAGTTTAAAAAAAGCATCATAGTACAAAGATTATCAGCTAGTGTTTTCTTTACAAATGTCAATGAATATTCCACAGCATTCAATGTTTTGGAAATTAGCGTGCCGGTGCTGCTTCTTTGCACGTCTTCTTACAGCATGTCGGCGTGAGAGAAGTAGGAGTATCCTTTACGAGGGTTTATAATGAATTTTGATGTTACAGATCGATGCAGCTGAATTGCCATCTATCAATTTACCATTATTTACTTGTGCTTAAAATCATAAGATTCCACAGAATTTGTTTCCCTACTATTTACAGGAAAAATAAATAATTACCAAGTTATTCATTTTTTTTCAATCCCCACTCCTTGTATTTTAATTATTTCTCCATATGAATAACACAAAGTTTATCAAAAACATCAGTGTTTCGTAGTAATGAAATATTCCTTTGTAATAAACGTTTTGTATCCATAATTTTTGGACATGATGAAAGGGTCAGTTAGTTGATTCAACTGGAGATGTTAGAAATATCAATAGATATCAGTTTTAAAGAAATGGGATGATCATTGATCCTCTGGACTGCAAATACTGACAGATTTTTATTTGGAAACTATTTTTCCTCTGTATCAGTAATTTTATTTCTGGTCTTATTACAGTCTATAATGGCAGCACATTTCACACAGAAAACTAGAAAGCTTATCCAACGCATCTTTTTCATTTATTAGGCTAATCTGGTTATATAATTGGTAAGTTTTGTGTGTTTTTTGTGTTACCTATCCCATTCAGGGTCCATACTTCCTTGTTTAAACAAGAAATTTCTTGTATGAAAAAGAACACTGTGGTTTTCATTCTGTCGGCATTTCTATGGATTTCAGTTGGTTTGTGATGCTGTTTTACTCCTAATATCATCCAGCTCATTTAAACGGGTAACACTGAATGTCCTGTAGTGTGTCACTGTGTGTTTATGTGGGAGCTCCCTGTTTACTGCTAATATGTAAGGTGTACACCTGTCTCAGGCCTGTGCTTTCAGTCAGGGGCCTATTTGGTTAAGCATGGCTGGAGCATAGGCAGGTATTAGCTCGCCATACATCATTGTCGTCATATCAGTTCCAGGAAGCATTGTGGCTTTCACCGTACTGCTCTGTTCGTCTGTTTATGCATTACCATGTGTGTCTGTGTGCGTGTGCTTATGACCTGTTATAGGCATAAGTGGTTGCTCTGTACATTGTATATCATTTGATATAAATTTGATTAGAATGACCTTGCTGTTAGTGTAGGAATTTTGCACTGAATTCTGAAAAGAATTGCTAGGTTAAATGGCGCTGGATGGTCTCTGATTGCTCATATGTTTCTGTATTTTGACCCAATGCTGGTTATAGCTCAGTAATGACGTGGTCATACTAAGAGGGTGTGCTCCTTTCCCCTCACCCCTGGATTTTTGCTGCCTCCACCCTCCACCCTCCCCCTGTGATCCTGCTCTGAATGAGCGGTTGACCGGCTTGGGCTCCTTTTGGATTTCGTCTGCTCAGGCACACCTTTCCTGGGATGGAACAGCGTATTCCAAAGGACGGTTAGCTCATGATGACCTTCAACAGCGTATATTGCCGGGAGTCCTTTTCAGACCTTTCTATCTGGGCTGGATCCAGTAAGCCTACTTTAAAATGCATGTGCTAAATAATGGAGAACCTACATACGACTTACATATTTTAGTCAGACTTGGGCATTGAAAGAGGTTTGCAATTCCACAAGGTTTGGCAATTATGAAG